GAGAAATTGAGATTGCATCAAATCAAGCAGCAGGGAAAGAGATGCAAAGCACACTGGGAATTCAGGAAGTTGGTGAAAATGAAGGGCAGAAGGAAAGAAGCACTCACTACATAAAAGGGATTTGATCAAGTAAGCTTTGATTGTATTATCAAAAACAACTTTAGTATGTATTCCTATTACAATGCTGATGATATGACAGAATAGTATATGCTGGGTCTTTACAACTCCTTTAGGGTATTTACACAGAAGCAGATTAGGTTAGTATTATTTTAGATTGTAAGCTCTAACGGGCAGGGCCCTCCTTACCATCTTGTCTTTATTTGTATTGTAACTGTAATGTCCTCCTTATATTGTAAAGCGCTGCGCAAACTGTTGGCACTATATAAATCCTGCATAATAATATAATAATAATATTTATTGCAACTGATTGCCTTTAGAACACAGAGCATCACAGTCTGCAGCAGATTTGTCTGTCCATAGTGATGACCATGTCAGATACATATGGGCTTTATGGCTGGGTACAAACCACCATTATTGATTGGTGGACAAACCTTTGTATATTTTTTTTTTTTATAGAAACAAAAAGAACTCCTTTATTGTTTCTCCTATTGGTGTACATACAAAGATAAGGCATTAATATTTTCTGGTATGAAAAATACAAAGAAGCTTTTCTAGTGTTGTGCTGGTTTGTGACTCCCAAAGAGACCTTCATTGCAATGTAAAACGGTAACATGGCCATTATCTTCATTTCCCATCTAATGCAGCTCATCCCATCAGGGTCCTTCTATTCTGACTTGTCCTTGTTGTCCCTCCATATGACATAGTTCAGGGAAGTGGCCAGGGACAGCCAGGCTATATATGGGAGCATCAGGTAGGCTGCTGTCTTGCTAATTGGGTACCAGGAGATTGTTGTGAGGACCACTTTACCAGTGAGGGCTGCTATAGTCCCAATGCCCCAACCAATTTTGTGAGCACCAAAGAAGATGGGTGTCCAAGACCAATTAAGTGCAAGCTGCCCAGCATAAAGTCCTAATGGAACAACAGAGTCTTCAGTGAAACCACCCAGTTCCTTATATATCAAATATGAACCGTACCCCATGGAAGTATATAACGTCGTCCAAACAGGTCCAAACAGCCAGTTAGGCGGGCGCCATGATGGCTTCACCAGTGTTGTATACCATGTTTTAACTTCTTTCTGTGTGATGAATCCTCCTAGTATACCACCTACGTGAGGCAACAGTGTGAGGCCAATGGTGGGAACCCAGGAAGAAGGCATTGTGATGGCTCTGCTGTCCTCTGCTAGCACTCAAACCTTTATATTTTAACTGAAATAATAATTGCTACATTTAAGGAGAATTATTGGGAGAGTAAAATGTACTCTTCCCAATACTTAGAGCTGGCGTGTGACACTACAGCTGTCATGTGCCAGCTCTAAAGACTGAGAGATCACAAACTGCTGATTGCTCAGCTCATGGTCTTCTCCCCATAAAGATTCCTCTCTGCCCTCTCTGTTCCTCCCGTGCTCATTGGAGGGAGAGACGGGGGAGGGGGCGTGCGCAGCTGGATCTGGTTTTAGAGAGGCAGAGCCAACTGTCAATCAGGCAGTGGGGTGGATCCTGATGATATTGTAGTGATCTTTCATGGCGTTAGCCCGTTAGATGCTGACTTTGGGTCACAGGATTACATTAGTAAATGTACTCCCTTGACCCAAAAGAGGACTAAAGCAAAAAAAAATGTTTGCAAGCGTTTCTTAAATCACCCCCAGAGCCAGTCCAAAATCGAAGGTACAGGCAGCATGCTACAGAGAAAGACTGCTACTGTGTGTGTGTAAGCAGTGGCCTCTCTACAGAGGTCCCACTCATTGAGTCAGAGCTATAGCGTTTCCAATCAGTAGGGAGAGTGATCCTTGCTGTTTGGAGAGCCTTAGCTCTAAAGGGTTTATCTTGAGCAAAAAGTGGCTCTATTGAGATGTTCTCACTAAAAATAAAGATCAAGTCTATATGCAAATGCAGTTAGAAGGGCAGCAGTTCAATCTCCTCCACAAGCTATATGATTTCATATTCTCCAAATCCCCTTGCTTCTCCTAGATTTTGTATTCAAATTACTTGGGAGCATTTAATTGTTACTGGATGCTGTTTAAAGTAATAAAACATAGTAAACGGTATTTAATTAACTTTAAAATGTATTTAAACCCACAACAATGTAGAATATATTGCAGCTTAGCAGTTCTTATATGTGGTGGCTGCATTCATTTTCTTTTTTTCAGGCTTCTTTCCCTTTATGTATTCCTGGTGATCCTGACAGCAATGCAATGTCCTAAGGTGACATCACTCCCTCCCTGTACTGTATCAGTGGAGAAGCAACAATGTCACCCTAGGCCAGGGCTACAGAACACCCCCTCCTTCTTCTTCATAACATAGTGGGGAGGTGTCTATAGTTCACAGAGATAACTGGGAACAATGTTAACTAACAAGAATTCTGCACAGATCACAAGATATCTGGCAGGATCAACAGCTATTTTTGTGCACTCATTAGGCAGTGAAAGCAAAATGGTTCAAATGGTATTTATTAAGTTAACAGACCAAAATGGAGCAAGAGAAGTCCATTGTTATGGTTTACATACACTTTAAATATGATACACTTATTAAATGCTGATTATAATTATGGTGAAAAACTGATTACCCCTTTACAAGTAGCTATAAGATGATCACCCGCATCAAGTCATAGCTGGCAAAGCTCACCTGTCAGTATAAAACTGTCATAATAACTAACTTCTGTGTTTTGTCCCCACTACACGTTACCCTTCCCCTCTCAGCTGCCACAGCAGAGACACAGAGTTCCAGCACAGTGCTTTGATAGAACTCCTGTATTGGAAGTGGCAGGTTCAATATAGAGAACCTGTCTCCTCCAAATGCTATCACACAGAGACTTGTTATCTCCTGTGTGATAGTAATAAAGTTAGGTAAAAAAAAAATTATAAAAAATTAAAAAAATAATAAGAAATAATAATTAAAATAAAAAAATAAAAAGTGATTTTTAAAAAAGGTAAAAAAATAAAATAAAGAAGAAATGTAAAAAAAATTAAACCAACCCTGCCACCCCCGCAGTCTGGTTGCCATTCTCCATTAGAAGGGGGGTTTGGCGGGGAGGGGGGTGCATTGAAGAACCTGGCCTTAAGGCAGCAGAGAGATTAAATCCGGCCCTGGTGGTCAAGCTGCGTATGGTTAAAGGTTTTTTGGTGTCAACACCATACATAATGCCCAGAAAAATTTTGTTTCCAATGAGTAGACCTAGACTTTGTGGAAAATATTTTTTCTTTACGAGGCATATTATTTTGTGGTATGTATTCATGACTAGGAAATATAAAATATAATGAAGACATGACTAAAGATGACCATATAACAATACAGATAGAACTGGAGCTGAAGAATTGCAGCTTGGTGATTTCTATCCATAAATTGTTAACAGCATGTGAAAATCACAGATAACTCATAGACATCCTGATGACTGGTCAGCCCTGCCAACAGACAAAGTACATCCAATGTATAAAAGCCTATTCAGGTCAAAGAGACAGCCTTTCCCCCCAACCCTCTCCCTTCCATTACCCCACACATATACTCACCTTCACTCCTCCACCACTGCCAGCGTTCCCTTCGGCTCCTGGAGCAAAGAGAAATGTGTGGTACTTCCAGGTATGACAAAGCATGTGATTCCCTCCCTTTCCTCTCAGGAGGCAGTGCTGGGTGTCTGAGCAGCCAGGCACCAGCACTATGTCATGGGAGAGAGGAGCAAGTCCTTAGCTTTGTGTAAGTTGTGACCAAAACAAGTTTACAGAAGGCTTTTTGTCTATGCTTACATGCAAAGATCCTTAAAGGAGTAAAGGGAGGTTGAGCATAAGCTGGGGGAGCAACATTTAAAGTGACCGTAAACTCAGGAGTAGTGTTGTAAAGTAGCCACAGCTCCAAGCATGCTTTGCGATGGACTACAATCTCACGTTTAGTTTAGTCATTGTAATTAAAATTATGAACTATCACGGGAGTGAGCTTGCAGCGGTGACTACTTTACAGCACACACACACGGACCATAGGAACAAAAGTAGCCACCCTCCAGAAGGAAGGACAGTGCCAGCATGAATTCAGATATGATTTGAGGATCTACAGCTGAGTGATACAAAAATAAGATAGATTTTTGTCAATAGCTTAAGGAACTTAAACGCATTTTTAAGATTTAACTCCTGAGTTTATTAGTGTCACTTTAAGTAAATCTATTGCTCAGCCCTGCATAGTCAAAGCCTAGGTTCAATTTAAAGGGTCTGACCAGGCAATTAGCATAATATTGAATTCTCAGTTATAAGTGGATACTCGTGACCTAATATATCTACTGGCTTTGTACATCTCTTGGAGACTACAGATTTGAATTGATTAAATAGTAAGGCACAATCATTGGGTTGTGCCCCTATAAAGGAAGTGCCACAGGCATATGTAATAAGCAAATAAGGCTGTGATTGATGATGTAGAGATATAGTTCAACATTATAAATAGAACCAGCCGTATTAGGCATGAACACACTGTGATGAGATATGCTATTTTTTTTACAACAATCCAAACGCATTCACATATAGAAGTAAAAAATACAAATACAAACAAATGGATCCCTATAAGGGCTTTTTGCGTTTTGAAAAACAAAAACTGCATTTTGTTATCACTAATATAGTACTATATTTTCATTACAGGCAGAATAACAGTCTATGTTAATAATTATATTTCCTGTGGATGAATTTTAATTGTAAAAGCAACTTTTAGGTCAGTCCCCTTGTAAATGTTTTGCATCTCCTTTTCCTTTTTCTTATATCTTAACATCATATTCTGCAGTCCATAAATATTAAAGGCTATATCTGTATTGATGGATATCCTCTCTCTTTTAGGGATACTACTTTCCTAAAGAAAATATTTTGGTGTGCACTATGACTATATGTAAATTGATGTTTACTGTAACCCGTTTTTCTTAAAAAAGTCATTCAAAGACACATTTGCCTTAAAATGCCCAACAGTTTAACAAATGGATTTGCATAAATTAAAAACAATAGGTACTAAGGTGAATAGTATATTTTCAGTCTGAAGCTCATGGTAGGTCCCAGCCTCCATTAATTAGTGAGGTAAGTTTGGTGTCTCTCATTTTCCAAGATATCAGGACTTCTGAGTGGTTGTGATTCAGGGTCCTTAGCTCAGTTAGACGGCCAGTCAAACGTGCAAAATGTTGAGGATCTTCAGGATGATAAATTTTGGAGTACTTGTGTAAAATTGCTAGTAGTGGCTCTTGCAGTTTATCAACGCAAACTTTGTTTTTTAAGAATGGGCGATCTATAAAAAAAATAGCAATAGTAATCTCAGTAATGACAAGAAAAAGTACAGCTATTTAAAAAACCTATGGACAAAACTTTATTATGAGAAAAGGTTTGAATCTTAGTCAAGTTTCTATTGCGGTCTGGGAAGTTTTCCCCTCACTTCCTGAACCCCTGTCACTGGTACGTACAGGAATTGATAGACACCATCCCATCCCAGACACATGCAGCAATAAAGACAACTTTATTTTAGTAGAGTTATAGCACCATTCAGGTTTTTATTGTGGACTGTGTTCGCTATAGTGGGACTTTCCAATCACTTCCTGTCTTAGTGACAGCCTTTGTGTCAGAGTGGAATAGGGTGTAGGTCTGGTTAAGGTCCTAGGCTGCTGCCTTTCTGGTTGCAATAGGGGATCGCTCATCAGAAGCTTTGACATTTGCATTCAAATAAACAATTCAAAAGAATCTTCAAGCAAAATGACAAATGTTTAATAGGCACTCCTAACCACACATCCTGTGTTGCATTGTGGAAAAAAGGGAGGGAGTATTATGATCACCTCTCTCTAGTAGGCAAAGAGTTCTACAGTAGATTGAACCAAGTATAACGAGCTAGGTGGCATTTAATTAACCTGTTACTTTCCCTGCACAGACAAAGCATGAGATAATTTTAAGGAGGAGATTAAACAGGAAGAGTTAATTTTAGGAGTTAAGTTTACATAACTAAGGGGTGAGATGAGAGGGAGAAACAAATGTTAGGATCAGCCTAAAAAGTTAGGTTAAGGTTAGGATTTTTTTTCTGGGCTCTAATTTACAACACAAGTACTATTGCTGGATTTTCAGACACAAAAGGTGCATATATAATATATGTGTATGTCAGTGTATATAATATATACACACACATACACATATTTATACATACATACATCTATATATATATATATAT